AAAACTTTGCAGATCATCCTTTGGAATACAATACTTCCCTAATAAAGACACAATGGGAAGGGAAGGTATTTATGAATTACTTCCTGATTTGTAATAAGCTGCATGTGCTCCCTGATAACAATCGTCCACTCAGGCAGGATAATGTGTAATTTTTCTTTCCAGGAAGCCCTAAGTAACATGGATGATTATGACAAAACGTGCTTAGAATCGGCACTGGTTGGGGTTTGTAATGTTGTGCAACAGGAATGGGGTGCTGCGATTCCCTGCCAGGTAATGCCGCCTTTGACTGTTCTCAGACTCCAGCTTGCAGTATTTGCAGATTATCAGTTGAACATATTTGGTTGGCCGCTATGTTCAACCCTTCCATAAAATAATCAGCAGCAACATTTGGGCTAATTTCTGCCCTCTCTGGCCCAGCTGCAGTGTTGTGGTAGAGAGAAAAATGTTTGAGGACCCCTTTCAACACTGATCCCCTCCCCCTCCTGATGCACCTACATCTTACAAAATAAAATAGTTCCCTAGAACTCTTCGAGCACTTCTGGAAGGCTTGGTTTATGCTCCTGCCTCCATTCCCCAGCCCCAGGGAGCCACAGTCAGCAGGTAAGGGTCATGGCCAAACACAAAGCTCTTTCCCCCACCATGCACCTGCTGGTGTCTGGGCTCGGCAGCATCCCTTACTCTGAAGCAGTAGTGAGGACTGCTGTTGAATGTGTTCTGTCTTTGATCCCCAAGCCCTGCTGAGCCACTGTGCCTGCATCTGCCGTGCTCCGCTAGAAGGACTCAGAACTTCCACTGGGCTGTTACAGCTTTGGGTCTGGTTTCCCCTCCCGTGCAGTGCTCCTGCTTGGGGGAAAAAGCCTACATTTGGCCCTCATTGTTGGTTGGGGTACGATTTGCATTCGCTGATTTTGCAGCTAGTGGATTGGGACCACCTGTATTATAGCCATAAAAGGCCCCTTGAAAAAACAGGCATCAGAACCAAACAGTTAGAAAGATGTAAAAATCAAGCATATATCGGATCTTTGGTAGGGTGATCTCTTATTTCCACCGTAGGCCATGGTGCTAGCACATCAGGTTACTGGAGGATGAAAGGCCATGGGAAATGTGCAAACTCTTGTTACAGTAAGGCAGGTTATTTTCAAGCATGAGAGCAAACACAAGCACTAATGAGACTATGAAAGTGGCAGGTGTGTTGAGGAATAAAAAGCGTGCATTCTCTCACCTGTTAAAACCTGGATTTTAAATCTGGATGAAAAGAATAAATGCTTAATTTCAGCTGGATTTGGTATTTCTCACTTGCTAGCCAAAACGGTTGTTTTTTGGGACACAGCAACACCACACAGCTGCCATGTTCCAGCCCAGAAATGGCTGCATTTCAGTGGAGGGCAAACAAATCCAATGATTTTATTTAACCTTACAGTGCCATTTTTTTGTAAATAACTTTTCGGATCCATTTGGATGAAAAATATCACATTAGTGCCTTAGTGCTGCTGCTGAACCAGAAAGGGTTGAAACATGCTGTAATAGTTAGCAAAGTACTGAGGAACTGACGTACCTGACCGATATTTGCTTTTTTATGGCTCATATTGGCTTCCGTGGGAATTGGGTTGGCCCCTGAGTTCTGTAGAGTGATTATAATAACTTGCACTCTTCTAGTATCTTTCCTCTGAGGCTCTTGAGTTGCCCAGCAGTTGAATGCCCTTGTGACAGCGTAGTTTCTATACTGAAAGGGTGTGTGGCTTTTTAAAACTGAAAAACATACTTCTAATTGTTACTCTGTGTTCATTAGTAGTAGGGTCTGATTATAGCTTATAAAAATAAATCCTAGCCATTATTTTCTTCATTAAATTTTAAAATATAGATATGTCTGTTTATTATGTAGAGCATCAAATTTGAAACAGTTAATTGCTTAAATATACAATTTACATGCAAACCTTACATGAGTAATCCTTATGTAATTAATTCATTGCGAGTCAGGACTGCTCGTGTGAGTAGGGATTTTCAGGACTAAGCCCTGTGGTCCCAATGGGACTACTGACAGAAGTAAAGCTAAGCACAAGTGTAAGTGTTTGCAGGATTGGGGCAGATGAAGAAATGTGTTTAGGTGAAAATGCTAATGTATCCTTTTGTGTGTGTTTGTGTGTGCACTAGGTTGTTCTAGTAACTGACGGCTGTTTAGGGATTGGCAGAGGCTCTCTGCGGCACTCCTTAGCTACGTGCAACCAACGAAATGAAAGCAGCCGATTTCCACTGCCTTTTCCCTTCCCATCCAAGTTATACATCATGTGCATGGCTAATCTAGAAGAGGTGACTCCTTTAACAAATTCTTGCTGGTTTTGTTCTACTGAGTGATTATTGTTTTTACAGAATCACATATTCTCCCCAAGATTTATTCTAACAATCTGGTGGTAAAGTGTTTGGTTTTAGTGATAATTGGGTCACATTCACCTGCAGTATATGTAAGTTAATTGAGAGATGTAGATAAACTAACCTAAGCCCCGGTATAGCACTGCTAGGTCAATGGAAGACTCCTACCATCGACCTCGCTGCCACTTTTGGAGGGGTGGATTAACTACAGTGACAGGAAAACCCCTTCCATTGATGTAGCATGTGTCTGTGCAATGTCACTAGAGCGGCACTGCATCTGTAGTGTAGATATAGCCTAAGTAATCCTCTGAGGAAAGGCACTATAGAAATAGAAAGTATTATGTTATCAGAGGCACTCATGCACTCTTGAAGACTGAGAACCTGTGAATTTATTTAGCTTAACAAAGAAAAGGTAAAGGGATGATTTGATCACAGTTTATAAGAACCATGGGGGGAAAACAAATATTTGATAATGGGCTCTAGCAGACAAACAGGTATAACACGATCCAACGGCTGGAAGTTGAGGCTAGACAAATTCAGACTGGAAATAAGGTGTACATTTTTAATAGCGTAATTAACCACTGGAACAGTTTACCAAGGATTGTGGTGGATTTTCCATCAAGGGCAATTTTTACATCAAGATTTGATGTTTTTCTAAAAGATCTGCTCTAGAAATAATTTTGGGAAGTCCTATAGCCTGCGTTATACAGAAGGTCAGATTAGATGATCCCTTCTGGCTTTGGAATATATTAATATAAGAGCTGGAAGCTAGGTCTGACTTGGTGAAACAATGTATTACGAACCCCAGTATGGGGACAACCTTCTGGGCTAATAATAAATTTTACATTAGGAGTAAACCTCTTTTGGGAAGAAACATCGGCTTCCTTAAAAATTAGCAAGATAAGGTTGTCCTAATTTTTTTTAATTAACTTAGAGCTTGTCTACACGTAAAACACGACTATCGGTGCCAATGGGAGAGGTTCTCCCGTCAGCGTAGGTAATCCACATCTCTTGAGAGGCAATAGCTGGGTCGACCTAACACTGCCTACGTGGGGACATAGTTGATTTAATGCCGCTCAGGGATGTGGATTTTTCATACCCCTGACTAAGTAGTTAAACCAACCTAATTTTTTAGTGTAGATCAGGCCTTAGACTTTTACTCTCATTTTCATATATTTCCTTAAAAACAGTCTACTGCATCTTCTGTTCTTATGCTGCTTTTTGTTTTTTTAAAGGTATAATTTCTTTTTTTGTGTGTGTGCAGCTCCAGAGCTCAGATTCTTTAGATTGTCTGGAAAGACTTGTAGATTTAAATAACGGGGAAGGACAGATTTTTACCATCGATGGACCCCTTTGCTTGAAGAATGTACAGTCCATGTTTGGGTTAGTATTTTTGTAACTAACATGACTCTGTGAAATTAAGGTATGTAAAGAAAACAAAGAAGCATAAAGCAAGAAATTTGTTTTGTTTTGTTTTGATTCATAGGTTTCTTTTTCTTTCCTACTCCAGTATGTTAACTACTATTGATTAATCTTTGACCTTCATTGGTTAAGGCTGTTTGTTTTGTTCACTCTTTATAGATATTGATGCTACTGTTTTTAATTAGATATTTTCCTTTTGTCAGTGATTGGGCAACTTGAAATGTTGATTAGGTCATAGGCTTTTCCTGCTATTAATTTGCCATACATTATGACATTTATCACATATGCAGTATTGTAGCCATATTGGTCCCGGGATATTAGAGAGACAAGCTGTGGGAGGTACTATCTAATATCTAATAAAAGATATTACCTCCCCCACCTTGTCTCTGTAACATATCGTAGCATTTCGTAATTTGACAATGCTAGAACTACTGAGTTAACTCACGTTTTTAAAAAAAAAAAAATCCATTTTGGGAGCTCAGTATAATGCACTTAAACAAGCTTGCAAAACTTATTTTCAACTGATTTGTATTACTTTTTCCCTAATAATAAATGATCCTGTTCTAGAAAACTAATAGACCTGGCTTATACACCATTCCATGCTGTTCTCAAATGTGGTCACTTAACATCTGATGTGCAAGTATTTCCCAGACCAGAACCTTTCATTATAGATGAGGAAATAGATCCCATCCCTAAAGCAATTAATACAGGTAACAAATGTTTGTTTGTTTTTTAAACTTGAGTCGTGTTAACTTTTTCTTTTTCTGTTGGCATCCCCTACCCTGCATAGTGACTGTTCCCTCCACTTTCTCTTTGGTCTGAAGAAAATGGAATACAATCTCCAATAACATTGCAATAGCCAGCTACATCTGCCATCAGAGGGTCAGAGTCTCACCCTATTTTGGCCCCTGTACACCTGGCAGATGGGCCAGCGTGGCGCAGAAGGGTTTTAAAAACCCCAGCTGTGGCCATCTGAGAATCCCCACAGTGCAGGAAGTGTGGAAGACAGCTGTGGGCTGTCTTCCACGGACTCCCTTGCAAGCCTGATGTAGAGGTCCGGAGGGGCAGGTTGGGACTAGGGCAGCAGTACATAATCCTGCTGAGATTCTGGTTGCCCATATACAGCCTAGGCACCACTCAGAGCTATCTAAGTGAGGAGTGGGAGGGCCACAGGTGTCTTAAAGCCACCACAGCACCCTGGGCTGTGGGTTCTGGCTGTGTCTCTTAGAGGTAGGCTGGCTGCTTCAGGATATGGAGACTTTCACTTCTAGGAGACTAATCTGAAATCAGTCCAGCCTGGAGGCGAGCGGAAGGCATTATCCTCTAATGCAGAGGTGGGCAAACTACGGCCCACAGGACCCTCCTGCCCGACCCCTGAGCTCCTACCCCAGGAGGCTAGCCCCTGGCTCCTCCCTTGCTGTTCCCCCACAGCCTCAGCGCGCCCCGCTGCCGGCACAATGCTCTGGGCGGCGGGGCTGCAAGCTCTTGCCAGGCAGCGCAGCTGCAGAGCTGCTGCCTGACCCAGTGCTCTGTGCTGCGTGTTGGCGTGGCTGGCTCCAGCTGGGCGGTGTGGTAAGGGGGCAGGGAGCAGAGGGGGTTGGATAGAGGGCAGGGGAGTTCAGGGTGGTGGTTAGGGGGCGGGGGTGTGGATAGGGGTCAGGGCGGTCAGAGGGCGGGGAACAGGGGGGTTGAATGGGGGCAGGGGTCCCTAGGGGGCAGTCAGGAATAAGAGGAGGGGTTGGATGGGGTGGTGGGGGGCAATCGGGGGCAATCAGGGGTAGGGGTTCCGGGGGCTGTCAGGGGACAGGGAACAGGGGGGGCTGGATGGGACAGGAGTCCCAGGGGGCCATCAGCGGGCGAGAAGCAGGGGGGGTCGGATAGGGGGCTGGGGCTGGGCCACGCCTGACTGTTTGGGGAGGCACAGCCTCCCCTAACCAGCCCTCCATACAATTTCGGAAACCCGATGAGGCCCTCGGGCCAAAAAGTTTGCCCGCCCCTGCTCTAATGGGTGCTCAGTGGCAAATGAGCTGGTGATGTCAGGGCAGTTCTTACTAGACTTGCCTGCATCACAAACCCTCCCCCCTCCATCTCAGGTGGAACCAATTGGCACCTTTGTTGGCAGCCTCAGCAGAGAAACCAAGGGTTGAATTCTATAGAGTCTGAACTACCCTCCAAAGGCTGATATTGAGACATTGGAACATGGAGGAAGCTTGCATTGCCCTTACTTATATCTTCATTCTCCAAGAGTTGTTAATTTGCTCCTCTCACCACCACTAAATTCACTGTAAAAACAATTGTGCAGAGTGCAACCTTCCTCATTCATCCCAGAGACCAAAGTTTCACCTGGCAAGAGGGGGTCCGTTCTGTCACTGACGCATGCACACAATGCGTAAATAAGTGAATGCACCTCAAGGAGCGAATACGCTCTGCAATATTTGCAAATATGACCTTCCGAATGAAGGTTTACTTGTTACTAGTGCCTGATTTAAAGAATGTTGGAGTGCTATGCACTATGGAAATTGCAGGGCCCCCCACCTTCACTTAAATTTGCCCGACTGCCCCCCCATCATGACCGAATTGCAACCCCGCATGCCAGCTTGCAATGCACTCACTTAAATCCAGTGGGCAGGGCCCCCCTGTGCAAGTGCACAGAGTGTACATTGGTTAATCCAGGCCTGCTTATTATACCAAAGTAAATTTCCCTTCTCAGCAGTGCACTTGGCCTTGTGTGCTTTTGTTTTTATGTTATTCTTTACAATTTGGCAGTAGAGTGCTATGGTAGGTTACTCTGTGTGATAACTTGCTTTCCCGAACCTGCTCTGTGACATGTCTTAAACAATATCTGGCTCTATTGGATTCTTCATCAAAAAGTGTGTGGTTCTTTCCAAAAACTGATGGGTGCACAATTAAGGTTAAATTATTCTAATAAATGAAGTAGGAACTCTGAAATTAATGCCATTCAGGTTTCCTTGATTTTTCAGCTGCAAGAGAAATCCATTGGGAGTGGGGAACACAGTAATAACACTTTTTATTTGGATCTGTACTGAATTTGGACTAGTATACATCACATTTTTAAATGAGTTAACTACTGGAAAACAGTGCAACTGAATGAAATCGGGCGGATGAAACTTATCCAAACAAGAGGACTTTTAATTGTATTTAATATATGTTGGTGGATCTCTGGTCATTTGAGATAAGGGAATTTGGTATAAATAAGATTCCATTCTACATCCATTAAAATACACCTTTCAACATATTCAGTCAACCGTTGAATGCCTTTGTGAGTTGAATTAAGCAGTATATTACTTAGCTATGGAAAACATCAATGTTATCAGCCTTTGGGACAGATTCTTTGCAACAGACCAGAGGGCTGTCAGGTTCTCTGGTTCTTGGCCTCAGCACAAGTTAGAATAGCCTAAGAGCTCCTCTAACTTGTGCCAGCTGGATATGGTCTCTGAAGGACCATGTGCAAGCTGGGCATAATCAGAGAGCATCATGCTTTGGCCACTCCCCTTCCTTGCCCTCTGCACAGGAGCTCTGGCAACAGAGGTGGCCATCCTGGCTTTATATCTGCTAGGGACTCCCCATGCTGGGGCTATCCCGGGGTGGGGCATTTGTGCCACCTGAGCAGTGCAAAGGAGTGGATCAGGGCAGATAGTCTGCCTTTTTGTTCTTAAAGATGACTGGTTATTTCTCTCCTATGGGCAAAGTGTTAGGTACCAATGAACAAAAGCATGTTGTGTAGCAGCATATTTCATAGATAACTTCCATTAGACACACCAGGTTCTGTCTGTTATAGATGCTTTTCAACTGCCCATCTTAAAGTTACTCAGAAATATTTACTATACAATAATATTATGGTGGCACCTAGAGGTCCCATTCAAGATTGGGGCCCCATTGTGCGAAGTGCTGTAGTTATATATGGTCCATGCTTCAAAAAGCTCCCAGTGTAAGGAAGAGTATTTCTATTTTGATGTTAAACTTAACATGAATGAATCCTCAGCTGTTTCCAGGGCTGACTTGTGACTGTTTGTTTCTTTGCAGATCTAGAAATAGTTGGTTTTATAGATATAGCTGATATTTCTAGCCCTCCTGTATTATCTAGACACTTGGTACTGCCCATTGCACTCAACAAAGGTGAGCCATTTTTGTTTCTAATAGTGAACATTGCACTGTTTGGAATTGACAAGGTTTTCCAAGGTTGCTGGTGGTAGATTAGAGCCAGACATTCCAAAGTTCTCTTAAAGGACAAGTGTCATGCCATTTGGAGAACACTTTTTGATGATCCCATTAAAATTAAAATCTTAAACACAAGCTCTTTGCCTTTTCTTAAAAAAGGATTCTTAAAAGTGCATCTGTACGTAAAACAGCACTGTTAATAAAAGGGACAGTGTCTCTTTAGTGACATCATAAATAGAACTTTCTGAACTTAGAGATACAAATAATTCTAGCTCAGGAATTAAGCTGAATGTTTTTATCTGCTTGTAGTGATTGGGTTTTTTTTTTTAATGGTCTTCAGAACAGAGCTTGTATGCAGTGTAGTTGTAACCATGTTGGTCCCACGATATTAAAGAGACAAGGTAGATGAGGTAATGTTTTATTGAACCAACTTCTGTTGGTGAGAGAGACAAGCTTGTGTCCAATAAAAGATATTACCTCAGCCACCTTGTGGGTGGGGTAATACAGAGCTTGGTATTTGTGCTTTGATTTATCCATTGTTATTCAGGAACGCTAGCTACTGCTCCTCTCTGTTAACATTTGTATCTGTGCCTGGGAGGCTGGTGGAAGTAGTAAGGAAGATTGGGTAAATCTCAAGCTTTGCCTGCTGTGTGCTTGTGGTTGCATTCAGAAGGGCTTCTGTTGCCATTTCAGTGTGGTTCCTAGTTACGCTTCCTCAAGTGGAACAAAGAGGAAATATCATGAGGTTTCTCTTGGGAAAATTTGAAAGGACCAAATATGCAGTTAGTGGGTTTTGGCTCTGTGTATTTGCACTCTTTTGTGCCAAATCTTTCCTCCCTTTGGGAACCTCATGCTGATGGCTAAAGCACAGCTGTTTTTCACCTCCTAAAACTCAGTAAGTTGCTCGTGACAAAAAAGAATCATATGAAGGGAGGGGTTAAGGGTTCCCTTAAAAGGGGTCACTTGCAACCAGCACAGTGTTGGAAGCTTGTGTTTTAGTCTGGTTTTCCCAAAGGTGAGGTTTCACTTGAACTGAGGCCAGAGCAGGGCAGACATGGGGGTTCTCAAACTGAGGGTCGTGACTCCTCGGGGTCGCAAGGTGGTTACGTGAGGGTTGCGAGCTGTCAGCTCTGTGGGACTGGTAGCCCCAACTCCCTGTTAAATTAAATTAAACTGCCCATTTTTGATTTATGGGGAGGGGTCACACTCAGAGGCTTGCTGTGTGAAAGAAGTCACCAATACAAAAATTTGAAAACCACTGCACTAGAACTATATGCCGTGCTGTGCCTCATTAGCCACACCACCCACATGCCCAGGCATCTCATGTGGCAGCTCTTCGCGTCACTGCTATGCTGGATCAAGCTTGTCAGACAGGAGGCTGATGTTGTCCAGAAACCACAGCATTGAAATACCTCACGTCTTCCAAGTGCCAACAGCCTGGGAGGCTTTGGAGAATTGGAGCCTTCCTAAAGAGAGAAGGTGCTGCATGCAAGGAAGGTTGCTCTGTTGAACTGCACTGTAGGGTGGTTTGCTTTGGGTTGACAAGAGGTGGCTGTTGCTGGGTGACTTGCCTGGCAGAGGTATTAAGGTGTCAAACATGATAGAAAACAAAGGAGCGTTAGTGAGTGTGAATCTCTCTCTTGGTTTTGTTTTGGTTTTTTTGCACAGAAGGTGATGAGGTGGGACCGGGGATCACTGATGACACTGAGGATGAGAATTCAGCTAATCAAATTGCTGGCAAAATACCCAACTTCTGTGTACTGCTGCATGGGAGCCTGAAAGTGGAAGGCATGGTGGCCATTGTTCAGCTAGGGTATGGAGGTGCATTTCTCTTTGAAAAGTCCCTTTTCGTGGTGATGCTTTGGGACCAGTCATCTATGAAATACTGCACGCCAAGCTGTGAGCCCCAGGTGGCTTGACAAGAATGTTTAGTGTTACTGTGATTCTGCACTGGCGGTGTAAATAATGAAAGCCAGAGCCCCAAGGTAGCGAGGGTGGGAGGTGAATTTTAGGGGTGTGGAATGGGCGGTTTTGACCTTAGCAGTCTGCTCGTTTCTTTAGGCCTGAATGGCATGGAATGCTGTACTCCCAAGCTGATAGTAAGAAGAAATCAAACCTCATGATGTCTCTCTTTGAACCTGGTCCTGAGCCCCTGCCTTGGCTAGGGAAAATGGCACAACTTGGGCCTATTTCAGGTAGTAACCAAGATTTTAAAGTCTCCTGTGCATTTGATGTTTTCTGTGTTAATGCCCTTGCCACGTCTTATTCTTAAAAAGCTTTATTTTCTTTCAGATGCTAAAGAAAATCCTTATGGCGAAGATGACAATAAAAGCCCTTTCCCCTTACAGCCCAAAAACAAGCGCAGTTATGCGCAGAATGTCACTGTGTGGATCAAACCAAGCGGCCTCCAGGTAGCATCTCAGTACTTCGCTTTGGTGCTCTTGCACAGTTCAGGATCAATGCTTTGAAAGAGTCGTCTTACTCGGGCACTAGAACGGTCTCTATACCTGTCACTTCCATCTAGTGTCATTTTTTGTTTCTTTAATTCATATTAAAGTTTCCTGTTTGAAGTGTCATAATTAAAACACCTTGGCACATATAGTTTGTTTAATGAAAGCTTTGCCTGGTATCTGGTTTAGTGTAATAACCATTTGTATGTTAGCTTGTATGAGCTGCATAATCAGTGACTGGTCACTGAGCCTGCGGGAATGATCAAGTGATTATTTATCAGTATAGCTGGGGATTCTTTCTTGCAGCCTCCCCCCAAAGTTATGGTATTTTTTTTTCTCCAGACAGATGTACAGAAGATCTTGAGAAATGCAAGAAAACTCCCTGAAAAAACTCAAACATTCTACAAAGTGAGTAGCATGTTATGGGTCTGCATGTAACGTGTGACTGTACTGATACAAGTTTGATCTATAGAGCACGTTGACCGATGAGGTTAATAATTCTCTGCGTGGTCTATCCAAAGAGCTTGTAGTGCTTTGCAAACGTTAATTCTCAGCAGCCCTTGTGAGGGAGGGAGATACTTGACCGATTGTACAGACTGATAAAGCTGTAACCTGGAATCCCCTGATCTAAGCTCCTCTGACAGGACAGCATATTGGGTTCAGTTGAAGGAGACCTAGGTCTGAGAGTGATCCCGTGTATCCCAGAGGTGAGTCTGATTGTGATTCTGCACTGGCGGTGCAGATAATGAAAGCCAGAGCCCCAAGGTAGCAAGGGTGGGAGGTGAATTTTAGGGGTGAGGAATGGGCGGGTTTGACCTTAGCAGTCTGCTAAGGTCTTTGTGATTCCGTGTATCCCAGAGGTGGTGTACACATCTCCATGGGGAAGGGCAGAAATGGTGTGCACTCCAAACACCCCTTGCCAGCTGGACTCTGGAATGAATTGGAGAGCAGCAGGTACTGCTAGTACTGAGGGATCAAAGGGCATCACAGAAGGAAATGAGAGCACCCGAGAGCAGCCTATACTTGGGTAACAAAGTCAACTATCAGTGTGTGTTCCGCCTATGATGCAGAGGGCAAGAAATCCAATCAGCCAGATACAGTTAGCTACATTGTACCAGACTATAACCATAATTCTTCCCTCAAGCCTAGCAGTGACACAAGCCCCCAGAGACCCAAACCAGGGTTCTGGTACGTGCTCTATAAACACATACAAGGCTATGGTCTCTGCCCTAAGAGTTTACAATCTAAGAAAATCACGTTCTGTACAAATTGGCTGAAATCGAGCGGATAACAAAGCGCCCCCTTCTGCAAATTGCAGGGCTATCCACCAGAGCCATGGAGCTGGGGGCGAGAGCTGATGAGGCACGCTGGGAGGGTGTCGTGAGAAAGCCAACATGTTAGTGTGCTATATCTGCTGTCTCCAGTCTGGCCCCAGCACTAGAATTCACTCTTATGCTGTGAGCACTTGGGAAGCTTGCCAGAACTGTAGCCTGAGGGCCCCTTCCCCCAAATTTGCAATGAATAAAATATCCTTTCAGAAGAATCAAGATTACTTTAAATGGGGCTTTTCTCCCTTCCAGGAACTCAACCGTTTACGCAAGGCAGCCTTGGCTTTTGGATTTTTGGACCTTTTGAAAGGAGTGGCAGATATGCTGGAAAGGGAGTGTACGTTGCTGCCTGATACAGCTCATCCCGATGCAGCATTTCAGCTCACTCATGCTGCTCAGCAACTCAAAGCAGCAAGTAATGGGACCTCTGAATATGCCGCCTATGACCATAACATCACTCCACTGCAGACAGACTTCTCCAGTAGCAGCACTGAAAGAATATGAGATGCACTTTTTAGAACCTTCTCTACATTACTTTTAAGTCTCAAGTGGTCCAAATTTTCCTGTCATATTTGTTTCCTAGGACTGACTCAGATATCGTTTGAAGAACTTTATCAATGCAAACCGGTGCTCTAAAACAATCTAGTTTCTTAATCTGGGATTAATTCGTATACCTCTTAGTGGATTTAGTTTTACCTGGAAATTGTATTTTTAAATGCCTCATGAAAGTCTCACAACAAGAATGGAGGTTATATAGTATGATTATTAAGGTGTGTGAGAGGAGAGATGAGGAAAATGCTGTCATATGCAATGGACTGGTGCCAGTGGCGTAGAACTGTCCCTCTCCCCTCCCCCCCAAGAACCAGTCATCAGGTAACCCCACACATAACCCGTAACAATTAGACTGGTGCACAAAAGCACTGTGTAAAACTTTTCTCCAGAGAGAGGCAGGTGTTATCTATTAGGGCCTGGCTTTCAAAAACGTCAGCTATGCAACTGCATGTACTTGACTTACCCAGTCAAAGACTGAGCGTATGAATACTGCATGTGGTTAGATGTATAGCTGGCAAGTTTTGGATGCTGTCAGTAATTGCATTCCTGACTTTAAAGATTTAAGCCCTGCCTTTCAAAATGTAAAGTTACTAAAGTTTCAGGTATCTCATTTGCCTCAAGACATTCATATTTGAGAAAGTAACTTACATTCTAGCAAGAGAAAAGTTCATTTTTTAACAAAATTGTAAGATATCACATTAACAAATAAAGAGTAACTTTTTATGGAAGCTTTCAGCGGTTTTGGCTCCAGTTTCAAAAGAACGGATGTGCATGTTTAGCATTACAGAGGCTTACTTTCATCATGTCTTTCCATCATGAAGGTAAGGTAACAAATTGCTCTTGTTTGCTTGCATAAGAGGCTGTACAAATAGCAAAATGAAAGACTTTGCTTGTAAATCTTTATTAATAGAAATACACAGTCAGCTGCCTTCGGAAGGACAAGCAAACTCAGTAGTTGAAGATCCATGGCAAATCACACCAAATACGGGTTGCAGTTCCTGCCCCGTACTCTCACAACCATGTATTTTATAAATGTTTAAATGCCCTTTAAAGGAATTAAAAGAATGAATGCTGTGTTAAATTCTCAGTGTCGGCACCAAGATATTCGATTCACTGTCAAATAGATGTGTACGTAGAAGTGACACAGTGTATAAATTATGGTGTAACTACCCTGAGGAAGCTGGCCATGCCCTTGTTTAGCCTTTCACACAGGCTCCTTTTAACACACTTAGGCCAGGTCTATGCTACAGACCTATATTGGTATGACGACGTCCCGCGCCTGAGTGACACGCAGTTATACTGACCTAACCCCATGTGTAGACAGCGCTATGTCTATGACAGAGCATCTCCCACCTAGCTACCACCTCTTGGGGAGGTGGATTAACTAACTACACCGACAGGAGACGCTCGCCCGTTGGGATAGGTTTGTCTTCACTTAAGTGCTGCAGCTGCGCTGATGCAGTATTTTAAGAGTAGCCCTGCCCTTCGATAGTGGTGAAAGTTCCTTAGGATAGTGTCTTTTTGCAGAATGCCTTCAGTGGCGGTTGGGCCACTTCTCTGCAAAAACCCCACCTAAATGTTCTAGTGTTAACCTCACACTAACAATCATTGGGGAAAAGGGTATTTCACACTGAAAATATAGCAACATGTTTTTTTTTTTTCTGGTGTTATGCTTTCGTCAAACAAAGCCATACAAACAGTGGGATGGAAATAAATTGATCGCTCTGGAATTAACTTGCACAAGGGTTACAGTGGGTGCTGGGGGAAAGAGTACTAGACTCAGCTGGGTCAACAGTGCAACTAACTGCTCTGTAGTCATGGTTACAATTAAGTTTATTTAAATCAGACTTTAGTTAATTTCAGGGAAAATGCAAAGGGTCAGAGGGGGCTGAATCCTGGCAGATCAGGTTGGGGGTGTAGGAGTCATTTTAATCATGGCACCCTTTATTCATTTTTAAGCAATGGGGGTTTCTTTGTTTAAAACAAATAAAATTACTTTTATAATTTACCTAAGGCATAAACCTGAAACAGCACTTGCCTCTCATTTGCTGAGATCTGGTACACAATACCAAAATGGTCCCTAACTTATTAGGCCCCCAACACAGCACCCCAAAAGCAAATGGCCAGCCTGGCATGCAGACTCCTTAGCTGCAGTCTTCTGCATTGAGGAAATAGGAAAACAGGTGCTTGCTTCCTTCTCAACAGGGTTTGAGCCAAGCACTTACACCACCATTCCCAAAAAGGAGCGGACCAGGGGCTGGCCTCCCTATGGTAGTAGAAGGAAGGTTGTGGGATCATCTCAAGGGAGGCCTGCTTTACCTCTGCATTTCCTGGGGGAATTCTAATTTTTGTGGGCTACTGGGGGAAGAATAGCAGGGAATGGAACCTCACCCCTACACTGCCTGGTTTTCCAGTGTCTGAGTTTGGGCATTTAAATTCTCACCGTCTGGCAGGGCAGAGTTAGTGACCACAAGGCCGTGTGAAGTAGCAGCTATGTCAACTGGTGAGGAAAATTTGAAGGAGTAGGTAGCTCCCACTAATGACTGGCTAGGACGTATGTAGCCAGATAGGGGCTGCTGAACACCATTACGTATCTCTATTCCATGGGGGAAGAGATTAAGCCTTCCTATTGTACATGCGTTAAGAACAAGCTGGTGGTGTCCAATGCTGACACTAGTTGCTCCCAGGTTTAAATGTATCAGCAAAAGCCTGCTGAAAAAAAGCAGATCTAGTACTGATCATTGATAAATACATTTCTCAGCTCCTCAGGCCACTCCTAGTCAGTTTCACATAGCATGGAGTGGATGGTCTGAAATATTCTACCCCAGCATCACAAGCCTTATCTGCATTCAATATCTGAAAGAGAGCAAATATCCAGTTAGAGCTGCTCAGTTTTTGCAAATAGGATTTCTTTTTATAATATGGTAACTGATAGGAAACACGTTTAAATATTGCCATTGTTCAACATTAGGTGCCATGCGTATATGATTGAAGAGGAACTCAATACAGTGTATGGGAATGCTATCTGAAGAGTCACTATGAAATCTAACATGATCATTTAGCTGTAGAAAATCCTTTCCATTATTATAATAGGTAAAATTGTAAGAATCAGAGGCTCCTGTCATTAAGATAAGTTAGGTCTAGGAAAGCACTGTAGTCCGTTTTACTTCATCTTTCTCTTTTTTGATCCAAGGTGCTGCCTCCTTTGCTTGTAGAGGTGACGCAAGTTTATAAACACACCTGAAAAGAGAAATAATTGTTTGGGCAGAACTGAAAATCACTGCAGATTACTTATGCCAGATAACTGAACTGAGTTAAAAATTATTTCGGATTTTCTTCTCACGTATGGACATAAAACTATGAAAGCTAAAGACAAATGAGTCCTTGCTGGGGTAGGGTTAAGACTGCAACAACCCACACTGTTTGTTATTGTAGGGTTGCTTAGAAGTTCTGGTTGTCACCCTTTAGGGGTAGCGGTATTGAAGATGGAGGGAGGGGGAAATAATTCTTGAATCTTGTGATAGCTTGCGAGAAAAAGTGTCACAAACCTAAACAGTCCACATCAGACTAAACAATAGAAACAGGGTTGGTGTCATTTAAGTCTTTTTTTAATCAGATGGAATGAAGTTTGGAGTTCAAAATTTTCATTTAAAAATCATGGGCTAGATTCTGTATTCCTCTGACTTCAATGAGATTTTTGGATCCACAGAGATGTAGGCTCAACCTGCACACAGTACACTTTTATCATTGGTCCACTAATAATAGAGAACAAACAACTGTAGCTGATCAGTTAAACATTAAACTACTGTTAAAAAAAAACCCCTCCTATGAAGCTCTTCAGGGAACTGCTTCTTCATATTCCATTAGTATCAGTGTATGTTGGTTAACATCTGTGTAGTTTTGAACTACACAAAGAATCTAGCAAAATCCTGCAGAAGTCCACACTTTTATCCAATGACACTGATATAATAATTGTAATATTTTGGCCTCTGATATGCATGTGCTTCAAGGTGATCTGTTATTGAGGTCTCCTTTTGGGTTAACCTGTGCAATTCACTACAAGTCTGATGACAGTTTAAGCTCAGTCAAATTGGTACAACAATGACCTATCAGATATGATCATTTAAAGTTGCAATCTATTACTCCTTTTTTGTACATAACTGGACTTGGTATTTCAACAGGAGAGAAATACAATGAAACAACAACAAAAACTTACCTAAAAATAACATTATCAGGTAGATTTGAAGAAAGAATGAAAATTTGATTGTCATGCTCATCGGATATGGCAGCGTGAAACTAAACTTCCCTGTTTCACTGAAGATTGGAATGGCCTGAATCAGAGACACAGCTGAAAGCAGAAGGCCAAGACGATTATAGGCAAAATACAAAGGACAAGGTAAACTCTAGAGTGGGTCAAAAAATGAAGCTTCTCAAAGTTGTTCCCTTTTAATGGTAAAATATTTTGATGCTTTCTGACCAGCTCTTGTAATCTAGAGAGACTTCAGCATAAACTAGTTTTAAGTGGCATCTTTAAACACACCTGCACCCAAGTCATGATATTTTCCTAGTTTTGTTTGTTGGCATTGGTGGGCAATGCTATGAATCCACCCATAGCAGCAAAATATTAACCTTACTGGCTAAGTTCAGTGCACTCTGCTGTTTCTTCCTCTCACTACAAAGAAAGTCAACCCAGAGAACCGAAGAAAAGCAACAACCCAAACCAGCCAAAAAAAGTATACAAACGAGAGGGAAAAATGTAGAAGTCAAAACAAACCTATTCAACATTTCATTTTGAAACTAACCATCAAAATGTTGCTTCAAAACTAGCAGTTTTGTTTTGAAACTTTGCAGTTGATCAGAATGAAATTATTTTGGTTTTGTCAAAAAAAATTGATTTTGGTTCAAAGTAAACTAATTGTTTTCAGGCTTTTCAATTCCACCATCGAAACCGAAGTATGAGTTACTCTCTCATCTCTATGCAGAGCAGCACGATCTACAAGGCTGTGTTTTTGAGGCTTACCTTCTGCCAAGGTGCCTAAAGGATAGAGAGGAATCCAGATGGTATATCGGATCCAAGTTAGTAATTTCCATTCTATATCAATGCAGGAAAGCATGTAGAATGGATACCTAGAATAACATTCAAAGTTTGAAAGACAGACATTACGTAAAAGTTTAACTTTCCACTTAAGTTACAATATTGTGCATAATCACTGTATGATGTCGTGAATGTCAAATATTCATGATAAACATGATAAATTCGTTTAACTATTGTCTTAATTGTAAATAATGATTAAGAATAT